AGCCTCTTTTGTGAGTGAATCGCGAAGATATCTCAGGCGGGAACCCCCTCCCTATGGGTCCTGCGTTTCATGTTGGTAATCCGAACGGGTCATCCTCAGCCCTGTAACTGTCGTCATTCTTGGGGCTCCTGAGGCTTGAATATGGAGGGAGTATCAAGCGGGAGCTCCGTCTGTGAGTGAATTGTGAGGATATCTCAGGCGGGAGCCCCCTTCCTATGGTTCCCGCGCTTCCAATTACAATCCAAGCGGGTCACCCTCAACCTTGTAACCGTCGTCACTTTCGGGGTCCTGAGGCCTCAATATGGAGGATGTCTCAGGCGGCAAACTCTTTTGTGAGCGAATTGTGAGGAAGTCTCAGGCGGGAGCCCCGTCCCTATGGGTCCCGCGTGTCACGTTGGTAATCCGAACGGGCCATCCTCTACCTTGTAATTGTCGTCACTTGTGGGTTGCTCAAGCTTGAAGTTGGGGGAAGTCTCAGGCGGGGGCCTCGTCCGAGAGTGAATTGCGAGGAGGTTTCAGGCGGGAGCCCCCTCTCTATGGGTTCCGTGCTTCCAGTTAAAACCCGAGCGGGTCATCCCCAGCCTTGTAACCGTGTTCAGTTTTGTGCTCCTCAGGCTTGACTCCGGAGGAAGTCTCAGGCGGGAGCCTCGTTCGTGAGTGAATCGCGAGGAAATCTCAGGCGGGAGCCCCTTCCCCATGGGGCGCGCGCAACGTGTTGGTAATCCGAGCGCGGCCATGCGAATTTTGTAACCGTCGTCATTTTTAGGCTCTCCGGGCCTGAAGGTGCAGGAAGTATCAAACGGGAGCTTCGTCTGTGAGTGGCTCGCGAGGACATCTCGAGCGGTGCCCCCCCCCCTATGGGAGCCATTGGGACACGTGTAGTACGCGCACCCTTTGGGACGTGCTCTGCACGCACTCACTGGGACACGTACGGCGTAGCACACGCGCGCCCTTTGTGACGTGCTCCAGCACGCACCCACTGGGACATGTGTAGTACGCGCATCCTCTGGGACGTGCTTTGCACGCACCCATTGTGACACGCACAGAATAGTACACGCGCACCCTCTGGGACGTGCTCCGGCACGCACCCATTGAAACACGTGTAGTACGCGCACCATTTGGGACGTGCTTCGCACGCACCCATTCGGACATGCACAGGATAGTACACGCGCTCTCCCTGGGACATGCTCCGGCACGCATCCACTGGGACACGTGTAGGACGCGCACCTTTTGGGACGTGCTTCGCACGCACCCATTGGGACACGAACCGTATAGTACACGCGCACTCACTGTGATGTGCTCCGGGACGCACCCGCTGGGGCACGCGTACTACGCGCACCCTGTGGGACGTGCTTCGCACGCACCCACGGGGACGCATGCATTGTTTGAAACACGCACTTCGTCCTTGGTTGTAAGGGGTCACAAACGCTAGCTGTTGTTTTGCATTTTCTGAGTTCCGTGGAGCATCCCAGTGAAATCATGAGCATGCTTCCTGCGAGTTGCACAAAGGCACTTGCGTCCATGAATTCCCACCGCGTTTGCGAATGTTTTCCCACCGCGAGCTTGGGGACGCACGTCGTGCGCCGTTCGAGGTTCACCCTGACGCACGCGTCCTACCTGACCTCCATCCACCCTATCGCAGGGCCAGACGCTGCGCAAGGGCGTCACCATTGACTGCGCCAGGGGTGAGGACGCTGGACGCACGGGCATGTCACCCGAGCAGAGGTGCCTGCACCTCTACGTTGTGTTCTCCCGCGCCACGCGCATGCGGAACATGCTGATCCTGCGGCCGCCCCCGCGAGGCATCCTGGAGCGCGGGCCGCCGGCGCCCCTGCGGAAAGCGCTCCGGAAATTCGATGAGAAAGAGAAGACCTCCGGGGATGAGGCCGAGCAGCTCGCCGCGGAGCTTAGATTCGTGTTGCCTCCCGCCTGAGCGCCGCGGCGCGCAGCTAGAGGCCCGCGGGGTTGCCCCGACGATCTTGCCCGCGGGGTTGCCCCAAAGGCATGGCCCGCGGTGCTGCCCCAAAGGCATCGCGAGCCAGCCGTCGGCGAACGCACGCTGGCTGGCCGAGCAGGGGGGGTGGGGGAGCACATGGAGAAGAAGCAGGGAAAGGATGAGGACGGGGAGGGGTAGGGAGAGAGTGTTGATGAGGAGGAGGTGGAGAACGAGGCGGAGGAGGAGGATGAGGAGGAGGAGGGGAAACACATAGAAGGAGGAAGGGGAGGAGGAGGAGGAGGAGGAGGAGGAGGAGGAGGAGGAGGAGGAGGAGGAGGAGAGGGCAGATCAGAGGGCGAAAGGAGGGTGGTTGCCAGGGCGAGGAGGGAAGGGCTAAGGGCAATCCAAACAGATGCTCATGCGGGGTCTTTCCGTCGGAATCATTACCCATGAGTTGACGCATCCCTTGCTGTTGCAACAATCCCACCCACCCGCCCGCAACTTGGTTTGCAAAACCCATGCGGTGGATATTGCGACGCATGCGTGGCCTTGGCTGGTGCATCTCTGCGACCGCGCCAACCCTAGCGCGCGCTCAACGGCCAGCAAGTTCGGCGCTGCCGACGCGGCCGCGGCGGCGCTGACCGCTGAACATCCCAGCGGGCAATGAAGTCGGCGACTTGGGCAGGCGCGGTATCATGGTAACATCGGTGACGTTAGACACGATACTGGATCCCCCCTCCACGCGCCTTCGTAGCCCTTGACGGGCGATTTGGCTTGAATCTCGGCCAGCCGACCTCCTCCTTCATGATGCTCCTGAATAGGGGCACGCGAGACGGATCCGCCACCGCCAACCTCGCCACGATCACGACGCATCAAACTTGACACGCGCGACTTCCCAACCACGCCGTCTGATCGACCGCTGGCAGAATTGAAAATACTCCGTGAGCCAAAATAATCAACCGCAGGACGCGCCGCCGACAGTGGAGCCGAAAGTGGACTCTCGATTCCACCTCTAGCCGAGCCGCTGGCAATGCTCCTCCGCGATCATTTTCGGGGTCCGCGGGGTCCGCGATCTCTTGCAGGGTTAGGCGCAGGGCCGCGAGCTCGTCGGCGCCAATGGGGACGACGGTGTCGCCCACCCACCAAGGGGGTGATTGGAGAGATCCGGACCCCCACTTTGGATGAGACAGTCAGCGCGACACCTAGGCATCGCAACGGCTACCTCGAAGCATAACTGGAGAAGCGCCACCGCGCGGTCAGTTGCCGACCTTGGCCTTCGCGGCGCATTCAAAGATACCGCCCCCGAAATATTTGATGGCAGACTTGCGCCCCTCCTCGGTAGCGCGCGACTCCTGCCCAAAGGCTTCGCAACAGCAGCTTTGGGGATCGGGGAGGTCACCATCGTCGCCCGGCATTGGGATGGCTTCAGCATTGTGCTGGCTGCCGTTGGACGCTGCACCTCTCTTTCTCTCTTGGCCTGAGCTGTGGCAGGTTGGCTGCGCGGCGGCGTGCGACTTTTGGTTGCCGCGCCAAGGTCGAGCTACATGAGAGTGTAGAAATTGTCTTGCACCGCCTCAGCAAGAAGTGCGCCTGCTCCGATTGTCGCCAACATTTTCCCAAGGTCATCCGCTGGCATGTCTGGGGCTGGCATCGTGGCGCTCAGCTTAAAAGTGCCCGTTTCTGGGGTTGGGGCCGCCGCCGCCACCACCCTGCGAGATTCTTCCGCCTCGACCAGGGACGTCGGACTGATGGATCCTTCAGCTTTCACGATACTCTCCTGGACCTGGACAGCTTGGTCACAGTTGTTGTAGGGCAACATGCTGTCTATTTTCCAGAGTGGAGCGAGCGAGAGACTGACCGTGCGTTCTGTTTGCGCGGCCGAGGACACCGAGCTGCTGTCCCCTTCTGCACGCCCGACGCGTTTTGCAGTCCGCATGATTCCACCGCCGTTCATTGGTTGTGTCGTCGGTAGACCTCTTGCACAGCCGCGCCTGCGACTGAGCAAGCCTGAAACGCTTGGAAACCGCGCATGTGAACAACACCGCGCAAGAGGAAGGGGCTGCCTGCACTGGGGCGGACCAGCACAGGCTCTGCCAACGGCTGGCCTCGCGACGGGATGAAGGCAGCCGCGGACCAGTGGTACCCAACTGCTCCACAAGGGAATTCGAAACCTTGAGCCAAAATGTCTGCGGAGTACATTGGAGGAAAGGAGGTGGAGGATGAGCAAGAGGAGATCATGAGGATGAAGAAGGATGGGGCGAGTACGCAAAGCACCAGCAGGAGCTACGCTACAGCGCAATGGGCTGGAGGGGCAGGAGAACCAGGGGAAGGCGGAGGAAGGAAAATGACGGGGGCGACAACGATGAAAAAGGATTCGGATCCAGAAAAGTGGCCCTCGCTGAGGCGAGAGCGAACTTTGGATCGACGGGGGCAAAACGCCGATCCGAACATGAGGCCCAGGCTGCATCGGGAACACCATTTCAAACACCGAAGATAATCGGATTGGTACCAAAAAGCATATCTTTTCATGAACATGCAATGCTTGAAATCCTGTGTATAGAAGACAGTACGCGGAGACGGTTGAGATCTTCCGGACAGAGTCAGTGGAGGGGATAACGTATGATTCGCAATGTGCAACGGCGGAGGGATAGGGACGACGACGAGAAGGAGGTAGGGCGGGAGAGAGGAGGTGGAAGGGGGAGAAGGGGGACGAGGAGGAGGAGGAGGAGGAGGAGAGATTAGGAGAAGGAGGACGACGACGAAACGGGATCGAGTCCAGGAGCGTGAATGAGAGGGAAGAAAGTGGAGGACGAAGAAGAGGCACCAGGAGGCTGAAGATGGAGGAAGAAGACGGCGATTAAGAGGGATAAGACAAGGAAGACTGAGAGGAGGATGAGGACGATGCTTACGGCCCCGAGGAGGCGGAGGAGGAGGAGCCGTGTCGTCGTCGGCCTCCAGCGTCGTCGTCGTCGGGAAGCCGTCGCCGTCGCAGGTGACCGCAGCGTCGTCGTCGTCGTCGTCGCCGCTGCCCTCCCACGACCGCCGGGCGCGCCGCCGCCCCGAGGTCGCGCCCCAGCGGATGCCGACAGGCGGGCACCTGCGGCCCCCGCCTCGCACTCCCAGGGTGCGTTTCGGCTCCACCTCCTCCTCCTCCTCCTCCTCCTCCTCCTCCTCTTCCTCCTCTCCTCCTCCCTCCTCCTCATCCTTGTCCTCCTCCTCCTCCTCATCCTTGTCCTTCTCCTCCTCCTCCGCCCTCCTCCTCCTCCTCCTCCTCCTCCTCCTCCTCCTCCTCCTCCTCCTCCTCCCCCCTCCTCCTCCTCCTCCTCCTCCTCCTCCTCCTCCTCCTCCTCCTCCTCCTCCTCCTCCCCCTCCAGGGTTCGCTTCGACGCCGCGGGCTCGACATTCGATGTCGATCGGTCCCGATGGTATTCTGCTTCCGATTCACGTCCGGGCTCGATGCGATTCGAGTATCGGCCCGATTCTGGTTCCGAGGATTCTGATTTCGATTTCGACTCCATCGGCTCGGTTCGCTCCGATATCGATCGGTTCCGAGTCGGATTCCGATTTGCCCATGGAGGCCTTACGAGCCTGCCGATGTCCGCCGATTTGGCTTCTCCCGAGCATGTGTGTGTGTGTTTGTGATGTTTGTGTGCACAGGGATGGTCGTGCCCGCCCCATCTGGGCGAGCCGCTCCCCGAGCTGCTCGCTCGGGCGTCGCGTCGCGTTGCGTTGGCTTCTCCCGACTCGCTGCCGATGTCCGCCGACCTGATTCCACGGCTCGAGCTAAGCGGCGTTCGGGCGATTTCGTGGACCGTTCTCGTTTGGATTCCGTTTCGCAGCAGAGGCAGAACGAGGACAGAGCGAGGGATCGGCGGCGAGTGAGGGGGGGGAAGTGAGAAGGAGAAGGCCTTCTCAGAAGACGGCGGGGCTCCTCAAAGCCCTCGCACCTTCCGATAAGTTTTCCGTCTCTTCGGGGAAGGCTTAGAACATGTCTCAGGAGGCCGAAGGATTCCCGAGCTTCCTGAGGAGGCATTCTCCTTCTCCTTTCGCCCCCTCGCTCGCCGCCAAAGGGAAACGAAAGCAGTACGAACATGGAACACACTGTTTCGCACCTCGTTGGAAACAAAGGCTACAACGACGGTCCCCCGAGGCACTCCGTAGCCATTTTGGCTCAAGCCAGTTGGCTCAAGCCGCAGTGGGTCGAAGACCGGGGGCTGCTTTCTGGCCATCCGGCCGATCCCGCTTCCCGGCATCCCATCGGCGCCTCATGCCCAAGAAGAGGACGGACCGCATCAAGAATTACAACCTGAAGATCGTGGAGGACGAGAAGGCCCGAGAGAAGAAGCTGAAGGAGCGGCTGGAGAGAAGAGCCGAATCCCGGCGAGAGCAGAAGGAGGAGCTGCTCAAGAAGCTGGGCCTCGTCAAGGGAGAGGCTGCCGTTGGCGCCTCGGCCGCGGCCCCGAAGGGCGGCAAGGATGCGGGCGGCGACGTGGAGATGGCGCCGGCGAGCTCCAAGCGGAAGGGTGTGGTCCGCAGAATAGGGAAGGCGAAGGACAAACTCAAGCGCGAGAAGGCGATGGCTAAGAAAGCGATAAAGGCTGCAAAGGCTAGAGGTGACATGAGTGTAGAGCGCGTGAAGAGGATTCTTATCGGCAAGAAGAAAGCCGAAATAAGACCAGACGGAAAAGAGAGGACGAGGGACAAGAAATTGAGGAAGAAACGGGAGCAGCGGATGCGGCGCATGGGCCTCGAGGAGGAGTCCGACGACGAGTCCGAGGACGCGGACGAGTAGCCTCGCCTCGAGCTGCGTCCTGCGGGCGACGAGGAGCGGTGGACCTGGCGGCGCGCGGCACGGCCGCCGCTGGGGCCCAGGGCCGCTCGGCGCGCAGGAAAAAAAAAAAAAAAAACGACGGTCCCCCGAGGCACTGGGCAACTTTTAGTTTTTTTCTGCATGCCGGCACGCATGTGATCATCACTTTCCACCTGTGTGCCAATGTGCCGTCAGGGCGCGGCTTCGTTCGTTCGTTCGTTCCTCTCCGGGCCCTGTCAGCCGCCGATCTGGCGGAGCGACCCCGGTGCAGGCCCTCGCGTGCCCTCGCGCGCCCGCGGGTGTCGTCGGGCTCGTGGCTCCTGTGGGTCGAGGGCTCGAGGCCCAA